CTTTTTATCATAAAAAAGTAAACATTACTTATATTTATTAATTCTGTTTGCAAAACCCTCCTGCTAACACTACCTTATTTGAGCCACATTTACTTGTTTATCCCACAGTGCCTTTCAGTCGTTACAATGAGTCTTGCTAGGATGTATGCTAGGTGCCAGGGATACAGTCATTAATTACTAAGACTCATTAATTACTAAGATGACTGAGAGAATGTTCCCACTTTCATTGCCATTACATACTAGTGATGGAGCTAGACAATTACACAAGTGATTCCAGCATGCTGGGCACACTTCTATGATGGGATTTGGGAAAACAAAGTATTATGGAAGCATATAAGAAATGGTTCAAAACCAGAATGGGGTGAGAAGGGCATCACCGATTTCCCATAAATTTACAAAAACACAGGACAGAGATAATTTTCTGTTCCATTTCACAGATGAAGAAAACGGGGCTCAGAGAGGTTAAGTGGTCTACAGCCAACAATAAATGATGGAGTCAAGATGGCCAACTTTTAGCCTTCTTCCTCCACTACACAATGGTATCATCACCAAAATCATTACCATCACTTTATCATCATCAGTGTCAGAAATGTAATAGGCCATATATAACCCACGACTTTAGTTTATATTTACATATAAACATTTTAGAAGGATTAAACTAGCATCAAAACACCAGTGAATGACAGAAATTTAATATATTACCTAATTATCACTATAGAGTATCACATAGGCTTGCAGGTTGTTATGGGTTTTTTAATTGACTAGAGTCAAGCAAGTTTGCAATGGGCAAGTTTCATGGAGCAGATAAATACTGAGGGGAGTTTAAAGAAGAATCAGAGACTCATGTGGCAGACAGAGAAGGGAATCTTAGTTGCCTCCAGGATGGGAACTGACAAGGTGTGGCCTGTAGGACCCTATGAATTTCAGATGTGCCTTTCTGATTGTATAAATGTGGAAAAAGATGGACAGAGGTTAAAGAGAAGGATATATAATCATTTAGGAAAGAAGCAAGAGAAAGTTTTGCCTGAATTATTAGAAGGGTCATCAAACAGCATTTCTAAAAACTTCATTGTTGAGGATCAGTCATTTGTCTAGCATTATCCCAAAAGCATTTTTTTAACCATCTAGCTTTTTGTCCTGGTCTGCCTGCCATACCCCTTGTGCACAGGATTTTAAACACTTTGTTCTGACCTTAAAGCTGGGAATATCTTTGTTAGTCTGGTAAAACCATGAGTATTCTGAGCCTTCTTATAATGATCCCTGTAGGTGATACTGATCACCAAAACGTTGCCTTAGCTCTTAATATGTTCACATTTCATTTAAATTTTGGACCAATTACTACTACAGACTACACTTAGGTTATTGACCATTTCAAACACTTTGGTCCAACCCACTAGATCCCAAAGTTCTTTGCTTCCCCAAAAAAACTGATTTTCCGCTGTGGATGTCTAAGCTGCCTTTAAAACACCCAACCAAACTCTGAGCTATCATATTAGCTGGGTAAGAGATAAGGGGTAAGAAAAGTATCCAGTCATCCAACCACATTTCTGGGTTTTTGTACAAGCTTCAGATGAAATACAGTCACTCAATAAAGTCCTTCTGTTTTCTCTTTCCCTCCCTCCCTTCCTCTCTCTCTATTTGCCTAGAGAGGGGAATCCTAAACCCTTTGGAGCCCCGCCAGCTGCACCAAAAGAATCTCTTGACTATTTTCCCAGGGAATTCCTGCCTTAAATGTCAGCGGAGTACGACTGCCCAGCCAAAGCAGAGTCTGCCTGGATTTAAATGAAGAAAAATGTGCCCGCTATACCAAACGTGAAAACCTGTGCTGTACCAAACATGAAAATCCGTGGGGTCTGAGGACAGAGACAGATTTCAGTATTTGTGAAAGATTCGACAGCCATTAGAAGTACAGGTTTTCTCGAATTTACCTCAGTAAGGAACAGGAGGCTAACAAGAATCAAACATTTTGGTTCCTTGCTGTTGTTTGACAGCTATTTTTTACTCATTTGGTGGTGAACTATATTTCTGGAAACCACCCTGAATTACAACCATAAGGAAAAGCCACTTTGAAAAGGGAAAGAAGTTCCATTAAGCCCTTTGTTATGCTGGTTGCTGCTGCCCTGCTGCTGTTGCTCAGTTTATTTGTTTGTTTTTAATGAACACACTGATATATAAGTGCTCTGGGGGGAAATCATGAGGCTGAGATTCATGAAAAGCAAAGTAAGATTTATGAGTTGCGATTGAATCTGCCCCTACCAGCCTGGAGACACTTCCCGTCTGGTACTGAGGCATTGCTGGCATTTTTACTGCTTTTGTTTTAGTTTCCAATCTCTGAACACATGAGGAAATATTAAAAGTTCCGAGGGCAAGGGTGGGAGAAGGAGTCCACAAATCCCAAAGATATACGTCAGCACCAAGGGAAAACGATATGGCGAAGTAGATTAAAAATTCAGAAGCAAAGTGTGTCAATTAGCTAGTTTTTGCTAAGTCCTTGTAATTTTCACTTACCCTTCTCTCATGTGTTGCTGACCTACAACTTCACAAGGCTATTCAAGTACAAATTCACAAGGTTGTCTGGCATAGAAGACCAATTTTAAATCGCTGTGCCATGTAACTATCTTCTCCCCAAAGATCATAAGGCTATACAGTAAGAAAGTCAAAAAGATTCCATTAATAAATTGTTATTTCATTTTTAAATGTATTAATCCCTTTTAAAGATACCAATGGGGGAAAAATTAGATTCCAGCTCTAATTTGCATCTAGGACCAGGTCAAAACAGTTCATCTTAGAAGCTATTAGAGTCCCCAAGGCTTCCCACCCCTACCACCCCCTCCACAAGCATATTATAGAGGCTTTCCTCCTTCATCATGTTCTGCATACATGGCCACAGACAAACCTATTGGAAATGTCTGTCCCTAGTCCAGAGAAAAGCCTGACAAGTAGCTGGGTATTACACAGGGCTGAGAGTATTATAGGAAGATCAGTAATACTATCTCAAGTACAAAAAGGATAATTAGAAATACTTAATAAGAAAAACCACCTTTGGTAGATAAAGAGTTAATCCCTGGTCAATTTTAAGCCATTCTGCTTAGAGTACTAATAAGTGTATGAGTTGGTGCCAATTAGGGTGGCCTTTGCCTTGATGGGAACAGTCATCCCTTAGGAACTGGACTGCCAACACATCAGCCAGCCAGAAACAAGGAAAAGAGTCTGAGAAACCGTGGTAACCAAATTTTGCTGGCACTTTGTAAAATGGTGACTGGAAACTGCCAAGGCCAGGCAGAGACTGCTAATGAGCCTAGTGCAACCTGCAAAGAGTGGGTCTGACAAATGTCCCCCCACCCACCAGTACCCCTAAGGAGCACCACTCTCTGTGGGTTCCTGTGGATCTGACACCGGAGGCCTCACAAACACTCTGACTCAATTCTTTTAGAGTCAGAGTGATTATATGTAGCACATCTGTGTACAAAGTCTAAGTTTTAAAATTTGTAGCAAAGATTTGACACTTTTTTTTATCTCACTCTAAAATCTAAATGGTAAACAGTTTTAAGAATCAATATGAGATGTTTTAAATATTCTTTGTGGATTCACATAAATTCCCCCAGCCCCTCTTATCAGAATTTATTCTGACTTTCATGGAGCATATTTTTTAAAGGCTGAAACCACAGATGTATAATAATCAGTGTGCAACCATATTTTTAATAATGTCAATTCAATCTTTGTTATCTGAGAATGCTTGAAATAGTAATAAAGTGCTCCTCTGGAGTCACATTCAAAATTTTAATTTCTCTTTCTAGGGAGAGCTTTCCCACCCACCTCCATGTCTCAAGTACCTGAACGAGACAACAAAACAAAAAAATCGTGACTGTAATCTAAAAGTATAAATGTCTTTCTTCTTCTGTCTTCTGTATTTCTTTCTTGCCTTGTTTTGTTCTGGAAAAGAGAAAATCTGAAATGAGGTGGTAAGAGAAGAGACGAAGGAGCCCACAGGTAGGTGTGGGTTATCATCATGGTTCTAGTCGTTGGGTTTGGTGTTGGATTCACAGACATTCATTATACTATTAAAAAGTCATTAACTGTTATAAAATAAGAGGACCATAAATGCACCAGTGATGACAGAGTGTTGTAAACCAGAGAGTATAATTATTCCAATTCTCTGCACCTGAGGTCTATTGCAAGAAAAAAAAATTAATAAGATGGTGATGCAGGTAGCTAATTCTCAGACCTTTCGGCAGAGTTCACCAAACTCCTTAGGCAGAGATGTCTTCACGAACGTGCAACCTGTGCAACTGCACAGGGTCCTGCACTGGGAAGCACTCACACTTTGTTTAATGCCCTGCTGTCACAATCCTGAAATTTCTAATAATTTTTGAGCAAGGAGTCCTGCATTCATTTTACACTGGGACCAGCAAATTATGTAGTCAATCCTGTCCCTAGGTTTCCAGATATTAAATTTACCTGCAGTTCCCAATAATTTTGTTCCCATCCAACCACTATAGTTTTAAAATTTGCTACTTCTTACTCCCAAATTATTATTAATTTAACAGTCAGAAGAGTACCCTAGAGCAGTCTTATTTCCTGTTTTTCCTTATTTTTTATTGTCCAAATCAGTATTGCCTGTGTTATAAATAGGGCTGCATTTATATATTGTGCTTAGAATGTTTCTTCTCAGATCAAAAACTTCAAATAGACTTCATTGGCTAAAAAACAAACATACCAAAGCCTACATATCAGTTCATCTCAACTGCCAGATAATACAAATCCATTTTCTAATAGTTATCCAGTTTCAACTACAACATATAACCAAACAAGACAAATAATCAACAATTCTTTGTGGTAGGAATAATTCAAATAAAGATGTGGGGAAATTCTCATTCTTAAAGATTACCAGCTTAAAAAACATAATGTAAGTAAGTGTTTTGTGTTCCTGAAATGCCCTGTGTCTATGGATATCAGGTACAGAAAAGTTATTTCAAGTTCAAATATAACTTAGCGATTGCCACATGGTGCAGGATCTTTCCACCCCTACACTCCAAAAACCCAATCAGACAAGTGGCCGTAATCTGACTCCCACTGCACTGGGAGCTGCCCGGCAGGCAATGAGAGCTGCAGTCTGGCTGGGGAAGGCATGAGTGATAGACCCGCAGCAAGGCGGTGGGGGTAAGTCCTGTTTGCCTTAAGGGAACAATGCCCAGGGCCAAAAGATGAAACTCTGTCTCTTTTACTACCGATATTTGTGCCTTCTCAGGTAGAATCCAGAAGGCAGCTAGCTGTAGGGCAGATGGGTGCTTCTTTTAGATCTGAATACTGGGCATATTCAGAAGAGAGGCAGAGAGAAGGTAGAAAAAAAGGGATGCTTTTTAACAAAATCTTCCACATACTTGAGACCTGCAAAAGCACGGGAAGACTGCCCTATGGAGGTAAATCCAGTTATTTTTCATCAGGAAAATTACTCACCCAGGGGCTCAGTGGTCCAGGAGTAGATGAGGCTGGGTGTTCAGCTAGAAATTAATGTGTCCGATCCAGTACAACCCGGTCACATCAACAAACCCCCTTTGTTCTGGGGCAAAAGAAGCAAAACAAATTGTGTTGATCCATTTCTAGTGAGTGTGAAAATGCAAGGGAGCATTGACCATAAAAACAGAGGGGCTATGAGCGATGCAGGGGTGAGCTCTCGTAGGGCCAGAAGTACATATATGTTCCAGCAGACTTTGGGGTTCACAGACAACTGAGGTTGGTTACTCTGCCCTGGAAGGAGATCAGATGTTTTGGATTTAAAAAAAAAAAGAAGCTAAAGACATTCTTAAGGAGTGTGCTTATGATGTGTTGTTGTTTTGGTGTTTTGTTTTGTGTTTTAAATTTCTCTGGTTGATAAAAATTGGAAGCTGAAAGAGCCACTGAGTTTCTTAAATTAGGTCTCTGGAGAGGTAGATAGGTGCATGAGAGAATGAGCAGGGAAAGAACTCAGGGAATGGCAGGAGTGAGGGGCGAAGCCGGGTGGCCTTTTCTGGGACCCGCCTGTCCTGGTGTCTCCTGCACTGCTCAAAAGGGCCATTTCCTGCCTGCTCAGCCTCTTCAGCCTCCTCTTCCTATTCCCCCCTGTATCGGGCAACAGAGGACAGCACCTGTAACAGCACTTTGCGCCCTTGCATCCCGGCTACAGCCCCGGGCTGCTGGTGAGTTCGCAAGTGACTCTCCTAACTTGTTTTTCAATTTGTGAGTTCCAGTAGTTTACTCCCCACCTTGGGGATATTTTTAACGTCTCCTCCAGGGTGCCCTCCCTGCCACATTTCAAGGACTGTTTTTGTCTCTATCTTCTCCTCCTCTTGGGAGAATGATGTCCTTGTCGTTCCAGCGGGGGTTGTTTATAATTACATGATTCGCTTAGAGGAGTTCGCTTGGGCAGGGGATACTTGCAATATGGCTGGCCGGTCCCCTTCTGAAGCCAACCTTTATCCTGCCACTGGGGCTTGGGCAGAAACTGGGTTTCTCTTTCCAACTCTGAAGCAAACCCACGTCAAACCAAAGGCTCGCTGGGAGCTAAAGGTCAAGGGTGAGCTCCCCTAGCCCTTTTTGGCACAGCTTTTCCTCTCTGCCCGTGCAGTCAGTGATGTGGGGCAAATAAGGGCCACCCCACGTGTCAAGGGGAACGCTCCTCTAATACTAATCGCTTAAAGTACTTGGCTTTCTCGCCTAACCCTTTACGTACTTAGTCTGTGATTAGATTTTCTGCTAAATGTTCTCCATACTTCTTGGCTCTCATGACTATCACAGGCAAAGGACAAGGGCAAAGGTCTTAGATAGAGGGGTAACTGGGAGAATTGTCCCCCAAGGAGAAGCCAGAATGAGCAGTTGGCATTAATATCCTCAGACCACCCCTTTTCAGCCCCAAAGATCCAAAGACTAAGAGGAATACAGATGGGAGATGGGAGAAGAAAGTGTCTTCCCTCCCAGTGGCTGCCTTGCTGCCCCCTCCCCGCCACAACTGTCCCACACCCGCCCGCAGCTCTCCAAGAGGGGGCAGGCTGTCCCTAGGGCCAAGCAGAAATGAGAGAGGCCATCGAGAAGACCCTGGAGAAAAATCGCATAGAGCCTTCTGCTCTGAGGACCGCAGTGTCGCTCGCCACACCCCCTTTTCCTGACCAGTGTTCCCGAGCTCTGCCCCAGGCGGGCGGGGAGGGTGCCCGGGCGCTTGCACGCCCTCTGGGAGGTTTCTCTGCGCGGTACCGACAAGGGTTCAGAGAAGGTCCGGCAGGACGGGGGCCGATCTTCCTCCCCTAAGAGCGTCTCCCGCCCTCCTGCCTGCCCCTACCCACCGGCGGCAGGGATGCGCCCCGGCCACCCTGCCGACCGGCCGCTCGTCTGTTCACCTGGTCGCTGCCCGGAACCTGGCAGAGGCCGGGAATGGCCGCTGCTCCGCCCTCCTCCCCTGGGGCCTGAGGTTGACACGTCCCCAGCTGCGCGCCCAGGTCTGGGTGGCGCCGAGCAGTGTCCCTCGGGCGGGCACAGCTCCCTGGCCCTCCCGCTGACAGCCGCTCCCTCCTGGCGCACAGGTGAAGAAAGGAGTGTCGCTGTCCCAGCTCAGGCCCTGCCTGTCCCCACCGCCGATGCCTGTCACCCGGAGCTCCCCTGTCCTCAATGAATCCACCTTCTCAAAGGACATTCTTCCACATCCCTGGGTTCCTAGCAGGCCTCCACTTAATCCAGAGCTGGGGGCGGGGTGGGGGGAGTTGCTTTACTCATCCATTTGCAGAATGCCATTTGGAAACAATGAAATACAAAACTGAAAAAGACTCCCCACATTTTTATTGCTTTATGCTCAAAATAAAATGACACGTAATTGCATTGAAACTTAAAAACTTTCTCTAAGGGAATTAACTACAAGGTAACTATATTTTATTAATCTTTGAAGGAACTTGATTTAGACATTTGCCTTTCTAGGAACAGTTGGGATAATTTTCCAGTGAAACCGGATGATCTTTGAATATTAAATCAAGAGAGACTAGAATACCAATCTCTTGACTATTAAAGGAGGAATTTCCAGAGGCATTCTTTCTTGGTATGCAAATAACGTTGGTCAGCCCCTGCCCATGGTACCCCAAGACAGCCTGGCCTCCTTCGCCTAAATTCATAAAGCCTTCCCGCTGAAAGGCTGGTGGAGTGGCTTCTGAAGCTGATTTGTTTTTCTTTTCAGTAAGTGTGGACCTTTGTGTAGAAGAGAGAACATCATGGTGGCATTCAAAGGGGTCTGGACTCAAGCTTTCTGGAAAGCAGTCACCGCGGAATTTCTGGCCATGCTTATTTTTGTCCTCCTCAGCCTGGGATCCACCATCAACTGGGGTGGGACGGAAAAGCCCTTACCTGTCGACATGGTTCTCATCTCCCTGTGCTTTGGACTGAGCATCGCAACCATGGTACAGTGCTTCGGCCACATCAGCGGCGGCCACATCAACCCCGCGGTGACCGTCGCCATGCTGTGCACCAGGAAGATCAGCATCGCCAAGTCTGTCTTCTACATCGCAGCCCAGTGCCTGGGGGCCATCATTGGAGCAGGAATTCTCTACCTGGTCACACCTCCCAGTGTGGTGGGAGGCTTGGGAGTCACCATGGTAGCATCTTTAGCTCTTTTTTTTCCCAACTAGGCTTCTTGCAGACTCTTTGCTAAATGACACCTTGGTGGCATAAGAGACATCCCTAAAATTGCCAATTTATCCCCAGAGAATTTTTGATGATTCTTGGTAGGGTGAAAACTGATTCTGGCAATGTTAAATGTATCAATGGGAAATCACTGTTTGCCATTGAATGACCTGAAAATGACAAAGTTTAGGTGTCACAAACATTGTATTGGTTGGTTTTTTCCTCTCCCTCTCCTATCCCAGTTATTATATTAACTATATATTTAGCTTAAGGCATTTTTATTACAATTATTTGTTTGTTCTCTAGCAAAAGAAACAGTGTCATTTCTTATCATATTCATGAGATTTAAAATGATCTACATAAAGGATCATGCTTAAAAAATAAATTGACTTTTGATCTTAGTTTTGTTCTTAGCTGATTAGGAGTAGATCTGTTAGCTCAGCACCAGGGTCTATTAAAAAAATTTTTAAAAACCACACATGGTTTAAATTTTAATTGAAATATATATTAATTAATTTAAACCTAATTAATGGATTTAATCATTGCCTTATAAAATTACAAGGCTCTTAAGAAATTCTTTTATAAGTTAAGTGCTGCAGTGGCACATTTTACTTCCTTTGTAGAAAAAGACATTCAGCACAAACTCCTGCTTGGTCATTGTAAGAGTAATTATCTGTGACGACCCAAGATGGATGTAATTTATTCCTTCTTTTCTTATGGGGGAGAAAGAGGAGGTCTCATTTGGAGGTGGGGTAGAAGACTCAAATTAACCATTACTTTTTTACAGGGATAAAATATGCCTTTCACAATGATATATTATCATAGAAAATACTCTTACTTCAATTCTGATGGAATATTTTTCTCTTTTCAGGTTCACGGAAATCTTACCGCTGGTCACGGTCTCCTGGTAGAGTTGATAATCACATTTCAGCTAGTGTTTACTATTTTTGCCAGCTGTGATTCCAAACGGACCGATGTCACTGGTTCAATAGCTCTAGCAATTGGATTTTCTGTTGCAATTGGACATTTATTTGCAGTAAGTTTCCAAGTCCATTTAAATAATTGATCCATCTCATTTATCCTCACCCTGGCTGGCCTGAAGATGTTGTGTTTTACAGCAGTAGTTCTTTAGTATCCAACCATGTCTGTCCATTAGAGGTGATCATTTTGCCAACTACGTGAAGAGAATGTTGATAGAGTTGCTAATATCTTGAGGTTCCTCTAAGTGACCTGATGAATGATGGCAAATTGCAATGAATGACACCTGGTAGTAGCCCTGTTTCAGCAATGTCTGAAGTTGTTTTCTTTTTTCCTATAGATCAATTATACTGGTGCCAGCATGAATCCCGCCCGATCCTTTGGACCTGCAGTTATCATGGGAAATTGGGAAAACCACTGGGTAACACTCATGTTGATAGTTTCTATCGTCTTACAGTTGAGGACAATTACCTATGGGGCTCTTTTTTTCATTATTTTGCTTACTAGTTTCTCTTACATTCCTCCAACCTCGATCCTCACTTTAGTACGTCTTTCATAAAGACTAGAGAAAGACTAGCACAGATCTGCTATAAAACATCTCATCTTATATCTGTTCTGGGCCTTTAGTAACGGTCTTTTTTTCCCTAAGTGTTGCTCTGAGTGCTGTATCTGACAGACTGTAGCAGAATACATTGTACATGGAGGTTGCCTGTGTGGAACAAATTTAAATTGGGATAGTGTAGTGAATATGTTGTTTAAATAATTGAAAGTAAAGTCTTCCTAGCAATAACAGAAAATAAACTTGTAAAAAAAAAGAAGAAGAAGAAAGAAAGAAATACTTAAAAGCATTGCCCACAGCAAAAATATTTACCTTTCTTGTTTACAAAAGCATAAGCTCAATTAATAGTATGTGAACTGGAAGCATTTGAACTGCAGATGGTGGTGAATAAATAGTGCAAGTGTTTACGCTAGTATCACCATGACTGTAGCTGGAAGAATAAATGATTCTCAGAAAAGGCACACTTTTCAGTCCCAAGCCTAATCTACTTATTAATGTGGTGGCGATGCTTCCAGAGAATAGTGCATTTTTAAATATTACAATTATTTTTGTTTCAATTGTTTCTTACAGCAAAGCAATTTAAATCCTTTAAATAAGTATTGCAGCAGTTGTGAAGGCCACTAACAGACTAAATTACAGCAACCAATAAAAATAAGAGACGTATATAAGCCATCTTCAAATGGGGCTAATTTTATTGTCATTTATATGTTGTGAATGTTATTTTACAACTTTTTGAATTCATGAATGTAACAGAAGGTGTCACTTGTGTTTTACTCTACGCATACGGTGGTTACTGCCTTAGTCACAACCACTCAACTGTGGTGTACATTGCAAATGAGAAGAAATTGCAGCACTGCTATATGCATTCATTTCTCTACACCATTAAATAACAGAATGAGACTCAGTATTCAAAAGCAAGATTTTGGACACAGCCATGCAAAGACTTGGCCAACAACGCCATCCCTGAGATTGGTCATTTTGCCACTGATATTTCCATTTATGTCTCAAAAGATTGGCCACATTAAACAAAAATGAAAATTTTAATGGGCAATATATAGATTTTTATAATGAAAGTGCAACTTTCAGTTTAACTTTTTAAATTAAAAATATTTTGTAATTAACAACTTTTAATTTAATTTATGAGGGCTTGAAAATGTGGATAAGAAATATGTTTTATTAATTACTTGTCAGTTACTATAAACTACCTAAAATTTAAACAGTGTGAAAATTATTAGCTTGTTGATTAAATCAAAGGCTTTCTTTCCCTTGTTGTGATTTTATACTAGTCTTTATCCTACTAAAAATAAATATCCGTTTTGTAGCAATGGTTGTGTGACATTTAGAACTAATTTAAAGTAGATCTAATTTGTAGATAGATAGATAGACTAGAAATAACATGAAAATATTGTGGGTTTTTTTGTACAATGTAATGATATTATTTTAGTTTTCTTTATATTTTTACATATTTTCTAGATTTTTAGCAATAAAAATTCTTTACCTTTATAAATTTTAAAAGTTATATTTCATTTTTTATTTTTTAGATTTTTTTAATTGACATATGACAATTATACATATGTAGAGGGTACATAGTGATGCTGTGATACAAATAATATATAGTGATCAGATCAGGGTAATTAGCACATCCAACATTTCAAACATATTAATATCATTTCTTTGCTTTTAAAGTAATATGACTTTGCTCTGAAAGAGCAACTTGACACCAAGATTTGTTTATTTTTGAGAACACGCAGCTAAATGTCTTCTTTATAGGTGTTTTGGGGAACAGTAGTAATTATTTAGCTGTTTCTATTCTCCCTTGTGGGATTTGTAGCCTGTGGACTAGTACATATCTAATGATATCTTACCAGAGGAACAAAGAGCAAAGACATTTAGAGGAGGGCTTGTGTTTCTCCTTTGAAAGGGCATAGAGAAGATAAACTCTCATATGGTTTCTTTCATGTTCCAGATAAGAAACTTGGTTCTTTCAGCCACTCTGCCAACAGTTTCCCCGAAAAGGATATGTGTTCAGCTTCAGCTTGAAGTTTGAATTTTCTTTAGATTTTACAATGAGGATGCTAAGTGAGATTAATTTCCAGAGGATATTTAAAGCTAGAAGCATTCCTCATATTTTATTCAAATGAGAGAAGTGCAGTGTAGTGGTTCAAAAGAGAGGTCTGAAGTCAGACAGACCTGAAATCCCAGTTCAACCACTTGCTGAGCATGAAATCTTAAGCAAGCTTCTTACCCTCTCAGAATGTCAGTTTTCTTGTTCTTAAAATGGGAATAATAATATCTATCTCATAGGTTATTGTTTGAATTAAATGAGATAATACAAGAAAAGTGCTAAGTGCAGCCAGCTCAGAGACAGTGCTCAATAAGCAGGGTTTCTGTTGCCCGAGCTAGTCTACTAAAGGAATGTCTAACATTCTACAGCATCCACATGCCCTAAAGCAAATACGGCAGTTCATTCCAACTCAACACTTAGTTTATTCTGGGTACATAAGTGATATAATAAGAACTTCCATTTATTGAAATCCTATGGAATTGCTACTCCTCAACCAGCCTTCATCCATAAACTCAGTACGGATTTTTTCAACCAAGCCACCATTGTAAGAACCATGTAGATGACAGCTCTCTGCAATAAGAGCAATAAACAAACCAGAGGGTTTTCAATTCAATCAAATCACCAAATTCTAGAGAAGAAAAGCATGTAACATAAGGAAGATAATAATTTATGGCCTTCCTAGTCACATGCATCTTTAAATTGTCTAAGAAACCTGGAATGGAGAATAATTTATGGCCTTCCTAGTCACATACATCTTTAAATTGTCTAAGAAACCTGGAATGGAGCAGGTTACTATGAGCTAGGAATTTTTAAGTACTTTACAAGAATTATTTCATTTAATCCTTATACTCCGTGAGGTATGTATTATTATGATCCCCACTTTGAGATGAGGAAATTAAGACTTTGGAAGTTAGGTAACAAATTTGCTAAGTGGTGGAGCTGGGATTCCATTTATCACACTGTACTGAATAAGTAAATCCCCAAATGATAAAATCTGCACTATAATCACGATTATGCAGAAAATCAATGTACGATGGCAATACTGAGAAAAGAAGAGACGTACTCTCCAGAATTTTTTTTCTATTTTAGTTGAAGAATTTCTAGTTTATGCTTAATTTGCAGTACTGCCAAAGAAGAGCTATCTTTACATTAGGGATTATCAGAAAATGGAAAGAACATAATTAATGAAAGGAGGGAAGGAGAAGAAAAAGTTCTTTCTTGTTTTCTGTTCAAGTGTTATTCTAATAATTTATGGACCTCTGACGTGGATTTGGCGTATTTTCTTACTTCTTTTCCAATTCCCTTCTTTTTTATGCATGACACAATTGCTCACTTCATTTAACCCAGCTAAATTCTACATTCATAGACTTGTTCAATGGAACAGCTTTTCTCCACTTACACTTGTCCTCTTCTGTCTCTCCTTCAGATATATTGGGTTGGACCAATCATAGGAGCTGTCCTCGCTGGGGGCCTCTATGAGTATGTCTTCTGTCCAGATGTTGAACTCAAACGTCGTTTCAAAGAAGCCTTCAGCAAAGCTTCCCAGCAAACGAAAGGGAGCTACATGGAGGTGGAGGACAACAGGAGTCAGGTAGAGACGGAAGACTTGATTCTAAAACCTGGAGTGGTGCACGTAATTGACATCGACCGGGCAGAGGAGAAGAAGGGGAAAGACCAGTCAGGAGAGGTGTTGTCTTCGGTATGACTAGAAGACAGCACTGAAAGCAGACGAGACCCCTTAGAACTGTCCTCAGATTTCCTTCCACCCATTAAGGAAACAGATTTATTATAAATTAGACATGTCCAGGTTTGTTATTTCATGTCATATTACTCAGTCTAAACAGTAAATATTTCATTATTTACCAAGGAGGAAAGGAAAAAACCTATTGTGAATTTCAAATTTAAAGAGAAGAAATCTTTTTAAAGTATTTCTGAAGTAATGTATCTAGTTGCCTTTCATTAATAACCAATTTAAAATGTGTATCAAGATTTGGTTAAGTCTTGCCTGACAGAACTTACAGACACGCCTATCAGTTTATTCCTCCTCTATCAGGAAATTGATATTCTCAATCCTCGTTGGAATATTTATCCCATTAAATCGAGTTTAACAATGGCAAGATGCAGTATATCCCAGAGTCATGCATATTCAAGAGAGGAAATATAACAAGTTCTTGTATGGACAATTCCTTATTTATAAACTACCCCAGCAAAAGAATATTAACAAGGGTCATTGTTAATCAATTATTTCCATTTATGTTGCAAATACCCAAGTTTCAACCCCAACTCCAATTCGTAATATTCTTTCCTCCTCCTCAATGCCCAAGGTAATGTGGGAGTAAAGCTCAGAAATTTGAAAACAATATTGAGAAGCCTGTATATTTATTAGTTTTACCTAATAAAATATCCAAATTGTAAGAGACACCTATTGAGATTCAGGACAAGCAGACTTATAAAAACTAACGGGGCTGGGGGAAAGTACCATCAAACAAAAATCACACACAAAAAAGGAAATCCGTATTCTGGTATCAAATGATCGATCTGTTTTCAGTGCACATCCTCAAATGCACTACGCAAGGTTAACAATCTAAGCTTTTAATCCCTTAAACACTTTGCTTATTCTTTTTTTAATTTATTAGCAAAACTGGGGGTTTTGTTTGTTTGTAACTTTGGTTATCTATATTTAAACATTAGTTGAGACATATTTTTGATAACAAGAATTTAATTTAACTGGTTTTTTGTTGATGAATAAGCTCTGTTCATTCTAGAAGTGTAAACTGGTCCTGCCCTGTCCTAATCTCTGCTGTGCTCTCACTTCTCATGACATTTGTTGATAATCTTCACTGCAAGTATAATGATATTTGAGTGAATTAATATGCACAGCAAGCAAGGTACGACATGGTTGCAGAGTAAAAAGGTGGGGAGATCAGAACGCTCTGTATTCAAACCTGACTAGATGACCAACCTTTCATTTGTAGACGTATTGTACATAACCCAACATGTTTTTAAAGTACTTTTGTTACTGATTCATTTATTTGCCAAAATAATTTGTTTTTTCTGTCCTGCTTTGCCTTTTGTCAGTAGACTGTTCTCTAGAAACCCCAGTTTCTGTCATCTTGACTGTCTAGTCTAGGCTTTATCTTAGACAAAGAGCTGCAAATGTCAATTTCACTGAACAAAAGCTAGTAGAAGTAAAGCAAAGACCTATCACTGCAAGGAGTGGCTTGTAAATAGCTGATGATCAAGGGCTTTCTTCTCCCAAGCACAGTTCCAACTGTGTGTCACTTTTTAGCGTTAATGGCAGTTGTGTGTCTGTGGCAGTGAGATAATGGACCACTATTAAACCTGATTCTCTTCGGTGCTAGGAAAGAATTATGTGTGAGATTCCCAGAGAGTCATCACCCCAGTGTTATGTCTGCAAGTGCCACTGGCATATTTTACAGCAGGTGCCTAAATCCCAGGCCCCTTTCTTGGGGGGCACAGCCATACTACATGCTACACCAGTGTCATGTGGTTCCTTCCTGGCTGGGACAGAACCTATAGAAACTAGGGTGCAAATCTCCCAAGGATAGTTTGTGCCTGTCATTGCAAAGGTTTGCACAACATACCATTAAAGGCTTAAAATCAGGGGTGGTTCAGTTCGAAAGGTAGTATCAATCGTCAGCAAACATGTCAGTTCAAAACTAAGTTCGGGTAACAAGGAAGTGTTAAACAGATTTCCTGAATACACTTACAATATCCTGGCTTATAATCTATTTTATTCTGCCATGTGGTTTACTTCATATATACTCACTTTTACACTCACTTCCAACTATAGCATTCAATAAGTTCTTAGGGTTAAAATAAAAGTGAATGATGTTTTTGTAATTTGTTTTCTAGTAGCTAGAGAGTGCCTGGCATATAGTAGGTATTCAAAACAAGTGTGTTAATTAATAAAAATACATAGATCTCATTTGGAATTTAAGAACATAAATAATTTTCTTTTAATCTTTATTTTGTTCAATATTAAATAAAAGCATGATTTCAAGGAAGACTAAAGGAAGGCCATCTAAATGTGCAAACCATAAAATATATTTTTGCATTCTATTATTTTTAGGGGCATGAAGTGAATGAAAGCTTTAACACTCTTTTTCCCCTGCATATGAGACAACATATTTTGTATTTCACTCAAGGCTCTGCCAGTAAAAAGTAATGAAATTGTACCTTTCTAATGACATCTATGCAGCAGGGGTCTATTGCCTTGTGGATGGCACCAAATTATCCAAGTGTATTAGGAGACTAGGGCTTTTTCCTTTAATCCCTTCTTATTAATGAAGTGCATGGTGCTGCTCCCAGGAGACCGCTGCTGACAGATACACACAGAAGAGATCAGAGAGGAAAAACGGGGAAGACATAAATGAATTATACCCAGCCATGAAACAATGGCAACTACCTCTTCCCTAAGGAAGAGTACAACTACCACCCCAAAATTGTAAGGTGACCTGCACTGAAAATGTACACAGCTTGTCAAAAGAGTACAAAAGGCAAAGAGTCATGTATTAAGTTTTCTGGCTTTCTTAAAAATTGGGGCTCAGAATTTGAATATATGTATCCATTGTTGAAGATGACATTTTCTTCAAAGAGTCTTAACCTTTTACACTAGAAGGAAGTATTTCTGGGCCTAAATACTTGCCTAAATTTAAGATTCCTATAGTTTGTTTCTGCTGTGTGAACGTTTTCATAGATTCCTATACTTTCTATCATCTGAGCTTTTTCCTAATGCAGCTCAGAGGTACTAGCTAGAGCTGCTGCTGCTGCTTAGTGTTGAAGATTTTACCTGGAGATTAGAAATATTTGGAAAATGTATATGATGAAATTGAGCTACCTGATTTATTAGAGATCTGATTCCAAACAGCACAGAATGTTCTTCCCAGGCCATGAAACCAGACGGCATATGTATTGGTTTAAACTCAATAATGGCAAGAAAATTCCAAAATAGAGTAGGAAATTCAAATGTTAAAATTAGTCCTGGCAAGGCCCTTTGTTGCAGCATGTTGACGCCATCCCCCACATGCCACGAACATTTGACAGAGAAATTGCCTTTGTGACAACTGAAGATGACAGTCTGAGCTGAATAGACAACCTTATCAAACAATATAAAAGCCAATGAAAATTCCCATAATAAGCACTATAGAATATGCAAATTCAGAGCATTTTATACCTGAAAGTAATTCTGTCTTTCCTAATGTGTTTATGTCATGAAAATTATTAGGAAGATGTGGTTGCTATCTGGAAAGTCTAATGTAACAAACCTCATTTTCTTTAGAGAAATTTTGTGACTTTGCATTTGTGTGTTAGTACTATACAGATTGCCCCCAAACAGCAGCAATTTTGAAACCCATAATTCTCTGAAATAAATAAAGGACATTTAATTCAGGGATCAAAAACTCTGGCCGCTCACTTTTGCAAATGACTATAGTCTGTGGAAATACATATCAGAAAAATGTTATACAATATATACAATGAACACTAAATTTAAGAGCAGTTAGAGAGTTACCCAGTCATGCTAAAAATCAAAGAACTAAAAAATACACTTAATTTATATAACTTATTGGAATGTATTTCTAGATTTTTCTTCAGGATTAATTAAATAAACATGCAATTTATTAGAACATATAAATAATTATTTATCACTTTTATGACCCAAATCACAATAAAATTGTAATTCAGGATAAACTGGGGAGAATAAACTGAACATATGGTTATATTCACAGTTATTTGTTAACCGAAATGTTATTCCAACATTAGAGCTTAATGTTAAAGAGATTTAAACTGTAATGTCTAATATTTGAAATACTCTATTAAAGTATTAGCATTGTGGTTGATTTCCATGAATTATGTTGCATCTCATACTACTAACCTTGTGCAAATAAACTTTTGAATGTTTTAAAAGGTAAACACTGTGTTTGATGATGTTCAAAAATTCATTCATAGTTTTTGCAAGTTAGATTTTATGAGCATTCTTTAGAATGATCAGGAGGTTTAGATATTTGAGTATAATCAACATCAAGTGAAACGATGGTGGACCCATGAAATCAAATGCATTTTGTGAAAGCCTGCAGAGCATACACTGTGGGAGGCCCTAATATAGACAGTGAAAATTGTGTTTTCACAGGCTTAATTCAAAATGTCCACATCTACGCAAAATAGACCACTGGATATCAGCTATCATTACAGTGAATCTAAAAGTGAAGATTCAAACAACTGCGACTGGTACTGCTAAATAGATGATCCATCCTCAGGGCATTTGGCATATTCTGCCTGCCCAGATGGATAATGTAGACTCAGTGAGTACTGGTTTACCCCCTGGGATTTGGTTTGAGGGGCTTCTCAATTTTGAGAGGTTATAAACCCTCACTGGAAGATTGAAGACAATCATTCATGTAGTGTGCAACCCATCGGATGAATAGTGAGTGATGCCTTAGGAGCCAGGTGGATGTGTACCTCCCATATAGCATTTGTCACATTGTAGTGAAATCATTCGTGTAGGTATCTGTCTCCTCCACGAGATTCTAACCTCCTTAAAAGTTAAGACTGTGTCTTATTTATTCTGTATCTTCCCCCACCCCTACCTCCACTCCTCGGCATTAGACTAGGCTTGACATTTCACTCAATAATTGCTTGTTGCATGGATAGAGAAAGAAATTAATGAATATCTTACAATCGTTAGGAAATACACAAAGCACTATTCTTCAATCTAGTTGGTTTTTGCTGCATAGATGTGTGCTAAATATTTGAATTCTTATAGTTCTAGGAGCCTGAAATTAACTCAAACACTAAAGAAAAAGGAAAATGCACAAAAAGAATAAAACACTAATTGGATTTCTAAAA